GGGGTGTGCCCTCAGCTCCCGCTCCCGGCTGTTTCCTGGCCGGATTGCGCTGGCCCAACTGTCCTCGGCCTGGGCACGGCTCTTCTCCTGGGGAACGACAACCTGGCTCCAGAGGGAGACTGGCTTTTCTCCCCTCGATTTACAGAGCAAACAGGACAGTGGGCACCATGCTAATAAATGTGCTTTATTGTACATTTTCCAGGATCGTTAAGGATTGCGTCTCTGGATCGATCAAGTTCCACAGTCAGGCAATTAATTTGTTGTGGTGGTTTTGGTTCAACCCCCAAAGGTTCCTCCCTGCGCTGTGACCCTAATGCAGTCCCGCAGCAGCCGTAATTGCGACCGAACCCCCTGAGCACAGGGTCTGAGGGATGAGCTACACCCTGTCTGCACTCAGAGCTGGCACCGAGCGCTGTCAGCAATGCTGGCACAGCATGAAAAAACGGAGTGAGCTCTCCTGGTTCACCCCGTCAGAGAGAGGGACCTGGTGGAGCGCAGTGCCTAGCACAGGCACTAGGTCACTAACCTTCCTACACCAAGAAGTTAGATCCGTTGTCTTACAGTCCATCTATTTCAGCGATTGATCTTTTAAATTAAATATTTTAGATTCTTAGAGAAAAATAAAATAAAATAGAAAGTTGGATAAAATGTTAAGTGATTAAATCACAGTCAATTTGCAATTCTTTCATTGAAAGTACCCGAGTAATCAGATTTTTTAAAAAAGTTAAGAATCAAAGTCTACTCTTCAAAAATGTCAATAATACTCCAATGCAAACTGTCCACTGACCTGTGACTCAGCCTCTCACCCATGAGTGAGTCAATCTCACAAACCTAAGGTTGGCTACTTTGATCAGTGGCGAGACCACACCGATGTCCACAGACTTGTCAGGAATAAATTTGACCCTCAAGCTCCATTTGTGTATTCAGTGCAAAGAACCAGGCAGAAATTACTGTCTTAGGTTTTCAAACCATTGAACATGTTTGGAAACAAACTGTTCCTTCCCCATTTCCAAAGCATGGAGTAATACACCAAGACCTACCTACACATCTCCTGAATCATCCTTTCATGCGCAAACCTGAAGAAATAGTCTTCCTTCGACATGACAGAATTACTCACAAGATCGTACTGAGACCCTGATCTCCACAGTCCGCCTAGAGCCACATGGCTGAGGCCAGGTTCTGACACACTCACATTGGGAAGAACGTAACTAATCCAGTTGCTTCCACTCCAGGGACAGTGTCACTCTCCAGAACACTATAGGATATCAGTGGCTAGAACAGCAAAACTCCCTGGCTTTCAGGAGGAGAGGCTTCTCCCCAGAGATGCCATAAGTTTGCAGGGTTGTCCAGTGAACAACCATCTAGGATGGATGGATGGAATTCTCTGGGAATATCTGATTGGTACCTGTCAGGGAGAGGGGAAAAGATCTTCAGAGAAAATAACAAATTGATATTCTGATGTACACCAATATTTATAAAAATAAAATTAAACCAGAGGATCCGGTAGGTGTGAGCAGCCATATGGCCTTCTTCCTCTGCATACTCTGATGATTCCAGTGCCCAAGTCCTAAGTGAGTGAGTCCTCCCCTGGGGTGGCTTTGTTCATATTTTATTTAGTGCACTTAAAGTGACATTTTCTACAGCTGTCGTAAGCAACGTGGCATTTTCTGCATGGATGTTGGCCCATGCAGGGAAGGTCCCCAACTGGAAGATGCTTTTGGCCCATGTGTTCATAGCCAAGCTAAGAAGCAGAACTCCCATAAGATTCATGAGCAACCCGGTTCTTGCCTACAAAAGAAACACAAAGATAACTAATATTAGGGGAACAGGAACAAGGTCTAAGAAATGCTGAGCACAGCCCTCGGATCCACAGCAAGTCCAAATTGCGCCGTATCAGATTTTCAAGAGATTCTTTTCATATCCCTATTCTTTTAAACACTGCTCAAAACAGCATTAGTCTTGCCCATTTACTTTACCAGATATTGAACTGGTAACACTTATGAAAATTACTTCCATAAAGACTCCAATCAGATTGACTGTCTTCAGCATTTTCTGTAGCTAAAACAACTTACCATATCCTTGACCATCAAGTGTCCAGAAGAAAATGCGATTGAGTTAGGAGGAGTTGAGACTGGCAGCATGAATGCATAGGAGCATCCTACAGTTCCTGGTATCATTAAGTAGAGAGGATTTACTTTCAGACGAATGGCCTTGAAAAACAGAATGGAAGAGAAATTTTACATCAGGGATTAGGAGTGAAAATTAGATATTTTAAAGAAAGTCAATAGTCAGTGCATTGTGCAGAGTTGAATCCCATTCTGTGATAAATAATTGCACATGTCACCAATAATATTTGAAAGACAATCTGATATCTGGCAGTCCCCAGATTGTGCCAGAGGCACTTGCTTTGCCTCTTTCCAAGGGTTTCAAGGTGCCTGTCACCCTGCCCTGAGGGTAGGACACCCACAGCACGGATACGACGCTGACCTGCCCATCCGCACAGCGCGGCAAGGAGGGGAGCAGAGGAAAGGCTGGGCTCATCGTTTTAGTCTTACCAGTTCTGCCAAGACAGGCAGGAAGATTATAATCGTGGCAGTGTTACTGGCGAACTCAGTGAATAAGGCGATGACAATAGTGATAAGGATGACGGCCACTGGCGGGGGGACGCCCTCCAAGGGGTGCAGGCGGCCTCCTATCCACACAGACAAACCCGACTCCTGCAGACAGGGAGAGAAAACAAGCCAGACTTGTCTCAGTGCATAAACCGATCCTTTTGTGGAATTGCAAAGCGTGTACAACCTTAGATAACTTTGCTTACCCACCACTGCAATGCAAAAATCTATATGCAGCATGTATTTAGCAGCAAGAAGTAATGAAGGCAGTTCAAGATTTACTAGCCTCCCCAGTTAGATACCATTCACTGTCATCCATGGGAGTTAAAAAGCAGGTTTTTCAGGTGTATCCATCTGGAGATGCAAATTCCCCAGAGCCAGACAAAAACCCCTCATGGCAGCCTGTGAAAGCCAGAAACCATTGGGCTGAATGACCATCACCCAAGGTCTGCATGAGGCCTCACCTCGCAGCCTTTCGCCATGGCAAATCCTCCTCCAAGCAGCAAGATGATGTTCCAAGGAACGGTCTCCTGGGCCTTCCTCCAAGTCAGCAAAGGCTGCGTCTCCGTGTTCGGGGCTACACAGAGAGGAAAACCCCCACATCAAACACACACGCAAAGATGAGCACATAAGTCATCATCTGATAGGATGACATCATCAGCCTGACATCAGCGCTGAAGCTCATAATCATGAGTTGCTGGTGATTAAAATATACACATAGAGTCTCTTAAGCTAGGTGATTAAAAATGGTTTCACTTACAATTATAGCCTGACATCAGCACTGAAGCTCATAAACATGAGTTGCTGATGATTAAAACATACACATAGAGTCTCTTAAGCTAGATGATTAAAAATGGTTTCACTTACAATTAGAAAAAAAAAAGGTAATTCTAACAGTTTAGGTTTTCTTTGAGGCTCTTTTAAAGGGACATTTAATATCAGTTTAATATTTTCCCTGTAAAAGACATAAACATTGTCCTCAACAGAGGGGATGTTACTGATTTTCCACTTGCCATTCAACAACTCAGGAGTTTTATGTCAAGGAACTCACATTTTCCTCACAGGACATTTCTTAACACACAATGAAGTGAGCCCCAAGGGCATCCCTATTTTATTCAAGGCAGGGCTGATGAGACATCTTCCTGGAGCAGGGGTAAGGCAGCACGTGTGCAGGACCTGATCAGCTGCAGCAGCCCTTGGTTTCTTCCCCCAGCCCCACAATGAGCTGCACCATCCACAAAGCCAGTCCCCATCACCTCCAACAGCCAGCTCTCCACATGAGGAATGTCTGACACCAAGGACTCCAGGTCAAATTATGACAAGTGGCTAACAGATTAATATTTCTGTATCTCCTTGCTGCTCAAGAGGCCCAAGACCTCAGCAGTTTCCTTTGCCAGAACCCCGCTGGAGAGTCTGTACTTTTGGAGTTAAAGTCAACACGGATTCCAGTTTCCTTAACACAGCACAGCATCATCTCTGACAGCTACATGAGTAACTGAGTCATTCCTGAAACAGGCGGCAGGGCCGTGACTCTTAAGCTTCTTTTGGTGCTTCAGAATAAATAACTGTCTATGCTGGGTTGCACAGGCCACCACGCAAGCTGCACCCTACGGCCTGGTCCTGCGCTGCCGGGTGCTGCGGAGGGAGCAAGGCTGCATGTTCTGGCATTTACACTGTGGGAGCATGGACACAGCGAGGGGCCCTGCCCACCCGTGTCTCCTGCTCAGCTTTTAGGTGAAACCACCTACTCACCTTTTAAGTCAAACCACCACCTGAAGGAGGGCTTTTGTGAAGGGAAGAAGAACAATATGATCACTATGGTGATTCCAGTAACAGCATCTGTGATGAACCTGTCCAAAGCAGCAGAAAGAAGTGTAAAAGCACATGCCTGTAGCGTTACAAAGTTTATGAGAACAGGGATTTACCAAAGAAGATTATGAGTTTCGATCGGGTTTGAACAACATTCGTTATTCTTTTTCGTTTATTTTTAATTCCCTGCTGAGCTGCACTTCTAAGATGAGCTGTGAGCCCCCTGGAAGAACTGCCCCAAAGCCTCACAGATGCAAAAAACAAGATCTAATCCCTGGTGAATGGAGGTTGTGGCTGTTCTCATCACTGGGCTGGACTCAGTGGGTGCGGGTTTGAGAGCAGAACGTGGGAAAGGGGCTTGGAAAGATTTCCCCAACTCCCCCCAGGGCAGCGTCTTAGTCATGAACACTTTGCAAAATGTTCAGCTTCTGAAGTAAAAGCTAGGCTTCATCCACGAAAGAGCTTATGTGCATGTTTGCAGAGCTATTGACTGATGAGGCAAAAATTTGGAAATATCTTATTGCATTATGGAATCATTTATTGAGTTATGGCTTTATAGAATGGTCTTTTCTACTTAGAAATAGCAGTACCCACTCTTAGCTGTAGCATTCCCCATTTATGTGTCCTTTTGCCTTCCTGAGGGATGGATGTCACAGCAGAGATGAACTTGCAAAACAGGCTCAGCTCCTGCAGCCTCTCTTACTCCAGACCTCCAGTAATATCAGTGGATTGCATAGACAGTTCAGAATTTCACTGTAACTGCATTTTTAAAAGGCATTCCCAACATTCAAACCCTAGGGATTGACTCAGATAAACATATGCAAGCATCTGCAATGCCAGCTTCCAGCTGGGCTTCATGAGCCTCCTTCAGAAAATGTAAACAATAAAGCCTCTAGTACTTGAGGATCAGTTTTATTTATTCCATAAAACCTGAGAAATGGTGCTAAGCAGCACAATCATAAACCCAGGAATCCTCAAAACTTGGAAATGCCATTGAAAAAATGTGACAGAGGAATAAAAATAAAATCTTACCCTGGTGCAAACAAACTTGCCCAACCTGGAATGAATTTGGGGTCCCTGGAGAAAAGCATGATCGCAAACACACAAAAGAAGAAGAAAATTGCCTGTTCTGCAAACCTAAAATGAAAAGAAATGCAGCTAAAATGCAGCTGTCTTATCTTGGGTCCACACTCTTAGCACAAGTAAGGAGCTTGAACTGAAGCAGATTGGGTGAGAAATTAGACAGCTTTTCTAACAACAACACTGAAAAAGACTGTAAATCTGTTTGCAAACATTGGTATTTGCCAGCAAATCTCACTATTGGAAGACACTAAGGACAGACAAGACAGGCACCAGGCGTGCTCTGATCAGATGTCACTACTCGCACATGCAAAGTTGACCCTGTAGTAGAGGGGAAGAGCTTAGATGGTCATTCCTGTCATCGCTGTCCTCTGGGACTGTGTTTCTCAGGCACGTTTTAGTCTGATACTGACTGATAGGCATGACCACACTTCAAGTCAGCATAAAAGGACAGATGAGAGCCAAATCATATATGACAGACCAGGAACAACATTCGCCAAGATCAAAACCTAAGCAATATCACTTAGACCTGACAAATAACAGGGGGACCTGTGAATGGCAAATCATAGGCTAAGTATTACTACCAACTCCACTGGCGACCCTAGTGGAGTCAGGATTTAACCAAGATGATGCCTCAAAACACTGTTTAAAATCTCTCAGAAGCACAACGAAGGGCATTGAAATGGTTGCGAGGAAGCCACTTGCATTCATTTTAAGTTATGGGGTTGCTAATCAGATTGGTAAAGCAAGGCTTAATGGGCTTTCTTGCTGCTAGACCTCAAAGTGGGGCTTTGATTCTTACATAGACATTTTGCAGGCTTCCAGATAATGTACTGAATGGAACAAATAAATGAATTTCTTTCATGTACAACACAGGCCCAGACAATCGTCTTTGAAGAAACACTCCATTTCACACACAACAACAGTAATTACAGTGTCAGCAGAGCCACACAAGATTGTTGAATCTTCACAGCATTTCTGTGGGCATGAGAATATTATTTTACAGATGGGGGAACACAGACCCTTTGAGATTAGGACTACAATTTCAAAAATCTTCACTACCACTGATTGCCCAGAACATCAGTAGTTGGTGGAATATACCTAGGGTTTGATTCTTGGAACTACTCAACTTTTCCTGTCCCCTTTCTGGCATTTCTTATAAGTCTGAAACACTCAGGTGTCCTTTTTCCCATGTGTGATCCTCATCATTACAATTTGCACCACACTGTTTTCCAGAAGACCCTTAAGAAACCACAATAAAAGTGTCTTGATCTTTCTTCACCTGACTGATAAAAGACAAAGGAACAACTCAGGAAAAATATTGCATTCCATGAAATGGATCTAACTTCTTTCCATTTGCTTTCTTTGAGCACCTTTTTTATGATTTATTAAAATATATCCATAATCCACAGGATTTACATCTATTGTATGATCCATCAGTCTCCTCAGCAATTAGTTCCTGCTTTGCAAATAAACAAATCTGTACATGTACACATGTGATCCTGGAAACTGCAAATAGCTGTTAAATGACACAGCATGAAGTTAATATGAATTTTGCTCCTGGTAAGCATCTGAGTATGAATATGCTATTTGCTTTTATTTGAATGAGTGGAGATGAAGAAGCTGGATTGTGCAAAACCCAAACAGCAGTAGGTCATGAATATGGAAAAGTATATTTCAATCTTTTATACCCCCTCAAAATTCAGTGCCACTCAGCCCAGCCGTCGTCTGCCGGGACATTTCCAACCCACTTGATTCTGTTCTCTTTCAGTCCCAGCTTGACAACTCACTTGGTTGGCCCCAGTTTCTGATAGTCCTCCTTTATCACTTCTCGGGCTCGGGCTTCTGCATCCACCCTTATATTTGACTTTTTTGCTCTCCAGCCCCTGCCAATAAACACAGTTACATTTTTACATGTCTCTAGCGCAATTCACTCGAGAGCAAATGCCGCGCTCAGCATCGGCTCGGGAAGCTTCAAAGCGGGAAGTTTCTCCCCGCGGGAGCCTCCGAGCCTGCCGGCACGTCTCTCGCAGCAGTTGGTATTGTGTCCAAAACACCCCAGCGCAGACAGGCGAGCAGCCTGGCAAAACCTGGCCCGGCACCTCACTGAGTGCAGTTGAGGGGATTTTCACCCATCCATGCCAAGGATCAGAGGGGCCTGTGAATCTCCACACCTTCGTGCAAAGGAGACCCATGGTCTTCACGGAGCAGAGGGCAGGAAGGCTCCTCTCATTTATACACTGAAAAGTTTCCCTCAGTGCAGGCTCCAGTTGCTAATAGATGGACCCAGCTTTGCTGCATTTCATCATTGCTAGTGTGGCAGAATGATGAGGAAGCGGGTGGCATGGAAAAATGAATCTGCTCCTCCACTTCTCAAGTCTCTTGCAAAGTCCTGAGTGAGCTCTGAAAGCTGCCAAGGATCAACAAAAATGTGTGGAATTTCTAACTGGCCGGGAATGTTAATGTGCTGCTGGCTAAGCCTCTTTAGGCCAGCAGCACTGCCCGCACTCACTGTTTGATCCTCTACGGGGCGCGCAGACAAATGATATATTCATATCTCGCACTTCATGGCCCACCCTTTCCCCTGCCACCAGGACGGATTTTGAACACTGCCTGTGACCTCGATTAAACCATTAAATCTACAAAATGGGACTTACTCCATTGGAGGTAGGGCCTTGTGCTGCCCACGCTTGATTCATTCATGGCGGTAATGGCACAGTGTGGTTGGGCCTGTCATTGAAAACCTCTGGATCTCAAACCCTTATACCTAGTCCACCCTAGCCCCTGCCACCAGGACGGATTTTGAACACTGCCTGTGACCTCGATTAAACCATTAAATCTACAAAATGGGACTTACTCCATTGGAGGTAGGGCCTTGTGCTGCCCACGCTTGATTCATTCATGGCGGTAATGGCACAGTGTGGTTGGGCCTGTCATTGAAAACCTCTGGATCTCAAACCCTTATACCTGGTCCTTTGAGGGTTTTTGTTTTGTATTTTCATCTTAGCTCAGGCTATAACTAAGCCTTTTTACACCTCTTGTATTCAAGGAAAATGTGCCTGCTCTTGAAAGCTGGCTCCCACAGGGCTCGGACTAGGGCAAGGACAGATAAAAGCTGGTTCTCAAGGAGTAACTTCTCTTTTTAAGAAACCTGTTTTTCTTTAGCTCAGTTCTTGGGCACAATCCTGCAGACACCAGGGATTTTCCCTCATGCAAAGCCCGGTTACCACTGCTTCACTGCTGGGCCCAGGGCGCCAAGCACCAGGCCGCACAAACGCGGTCCCCTTTGCGCAGCTCCGCACGTCTCTTCGGAAGCATTCCACCTCTAGGGAATACTGGTATCTCTCCTGGACACAGCTATCCCAATAAAGCTGTGCTTCATGCCGATAGTGAGGAGCCAAACAAAACAAAAGCAATCACGTTCTCCTAATAGAAGAGCAATTTTGCCTTTTACCCGGGCTGGTGGCCAGCACAGCTACCTCTTCCCTCACCTGATGAACCCCAGGCTCTGCGTCGCACAAGCCACGGCCACCAGCTGCAGCGCAGCCTCACGCCTGCCCATAAGGTCCCATATGTTATTAGTTCACAGCAGGATCATTGTCACTGCACTGAGTCTTATTCACATACAACTGCCTTGCCTAAAAACAACTCCTTTCAGCATGTCCGTACTTCTCTTATGGGCCTGGCTGAAGGATGGTCCTCACTGAAGTTACCTGGGGCTCCAGACCAGCAGTGCAATTATGAAGATGCCTGAACTCCCCTAGTTTTTGAGGACTTTATCACAAGCTTCAGCTTAAGCGCTCAACTGTCTTGCTGAAAACACCCCTTGCCCTCTCCGAGCAATTACCTGCGAGCTTAGCTGTCTAGAAATTTAAGGGCCTGGTTTGGTTATTTTCTAAACTGTGGCTTTCCCATTGATTTTTTTCCTCTCTGAGACAATGTAAATATTTAGACACGTCTCTTTTCACCCTCTACTTAAATTTTCAACTTAAAAAAAAATCTTTCTTAATATTATAAATCATGTATGGTCCCTGGAAAAAGCAGGACTGAGTTTGCTACTATCACAAAAGGGCAAAAAACAGGCTCCAAAATGAATCAGTTTGGCATCATGATAATTGTTTTAAATAGTACACACTGGACATTCCAGGAGACCTTGCGAGTGCCCTGCAAAGATTTACCAGTAAAACATGTTACTCTCAGTTACAGATTAACACATTGTTGTAAAACTAAGCCCTGTCATGAAGTAATCTGTTCCAAACCCAAATTTCAATCTAGGAACAAATCTTGTCTCTTCCCTGTTCTAGGGGATTTTTGCTACTAATTCCGTGAAACCAAGATTTCATCTTCCTCTTCAAGGTTTGATCCTGCTTTCTCTTCTGTCATGGAAATCCTGCCTCTGACTTTCACAGGCAGTAAAACTGAACTTAAAAAATGGTGTTTAATTGACTGAACATGTAAAAAAATATACGTGCATGTATTTCAGGTTGATAAAATATCTGTTGTTGCCAAATAGCTCCAAAGCAATTCTTTTGCATATCGGCAATTGCTTACTGCATGTAATATATAATGTATATAATACATACGGCTGAATGTAAACGTACCTGAGGTTAATTCCTCCATACAAGATGGAGATCCATAGCCATCCCATGAGAAGAAAAATCAGCATTAGAGGAAACGCAAACATAAACCAAGAACCAAAGTTCACCACATCACATTCTGGAAAATAACTAAGCAAATGGGAAAAATAAAGTTAATGCAAGAAGGAAAAACAAACCTTCAATTTAAGGGTAAACAAACATTTGAAACTAGCAGAAAAACATCTCACAAACTTGCCAATTGTGCTTTTAATAAATACTCCTCTGTGTGCAACAGCAATTCTCTGGGCACTATGGGATTTGGGCAACATTGTGTTGAGAGAACCTCACCAGGCACAGACCTGACATCATCCAACTGGATGAGCAGCCAGGAAATGAAGTTTTTTAAAAAATCAGGCTCTCCATATTCTGATATTCTCATACAACAATATTCTTGAACACCAAGATCTTATTGTGGTTTATCAATTTCAGTCCTGGTACAATACCAGCTGGGGAGTCTCAGCATGAACTTCATAGGGAGGTTCCCCATGCCTAGAAGATCCTTAACATACGTAGAGACCATTAAAGGTAAGAAGTAGCTGCATACACTTATGATGGCAAGAATCTCTGCTCCTACGCACATAAGAAGCATCTTTTATGACTAAAAGAACAAGTGAGAAGTAGTGGGATCCCTGCTTTTTTCTTCTACCAAACTCTAGCAGATACAACTGCTCACAAAACACTGCATGGCCTGTTTCCTGAAAACAGTTACAAGATTAATTTTAAGCTGGCAGTTAAATCCCATTAAATTCAATGGGATTAAGAGCATCAATAAAGTGATGCACATATGTACTGGTTTGGCTGAAAGCTTGACTGGGTGCATGGAAAATCTGGATAGCTGGAAACATAGCTTTTCTCTGCTCACAACATATCCCAAAATGCTGTGAAGAGGTATGGATTTTCCAAAACAGCTCTCAGCCCATAAGTGAGTTTCCTTCAGGGGCAGAGAATACAGCTCTGTTCTGCAGAATTTACTCTAATAGACACACAGACGAGTGGGGCTTTCCCAGGACGACCTCCCCTACCTCTTCAGCTGTCCTAGGAGGATGAGATTTGGTGCCGTTCCCGTCAGTGTCGCTGTCCCGCCGATGCTGGCTGCGTATGGGATTGAGATGAGGAAACCTTTCCAGATATTTGTTTTGTATTCTTCCTCCTTCTTTAAGTCTGAGAGCACATCACTGGCAACCTCCTTCTCCTCCGCCAGATCTTTGCTTTAAAACATTCCAAAAGAGAATCCGGTGAAAGCCCTGGTTTAAATACAGCGCAACCAATTTAGAGCCTTGACAAAGGGAAAACTCTTGTTTCTTAGTAATCCAAGTTAGTAATGTCCTCAAGGACACCTAAGTGGCTCGTTTTGGCAGGAGGGGTCTGTCAGGCTTCCGCACTGCTCAGTGAATTGCCACTTGGCACGGGGCAGCCTTGCCAAGGCCACCCACAACGCCTGCCCGTGGGAGCCGCGGGGCCCACACCTGCCCCAGGCTCCCAACGCACAAAACAGCAGAAAGGCAGCAGTGTTTCTGCTAAAAGCGAACAAAAATTTGTTTCTGATAGCACCAAGTGGCAAGAAACAAGCTCCTGAGAAGATGCTTCTTCCCCTCACCTGTTAGCAAACCAGGACCATCAATGTTATGTGAAGCCTGGTGGCTTTTACATCACCTGCTTCACACCTTTGATGCTCCAGAGCGTAACCAAGGCACAGTTTTTCAGTAGGAGACACCTCTGGCTAATATTTCAAAGCAACTCAAGAACCTCTGCAATAGTTTGGATGTGCAGAAGGTTGCTAGACACACACTGTGTCCAGCTGGGTTTCTGTGCTCAGCCTGTTAGCAGCTGGGAAGTTCGGCATTATCAAAACATTTCAGTGACCAAATGTCACATTCCTAAAGCTGCGTCTAGCTCAGGGGATAATTCTCTCTCTAAACTCTCTAATACAAACTTTATAGTTAACTTACTCCTCAGTACTTGCCAGAAACTGCATCTCAGTTGGTACAGTGTAAAGTTTATTCTGCTGTAAAGATGCTGAAAAAGAAAGATTAGGACTTTAAAACAGTTCAAAGCATCTAGAAAATTCTCCCTGCACCAAACAGAGAAGGAAACTGCATTTACAGAGCAGGGACTTTGCAAATGCAGGGTGAAATAACCCCATGGGCATGGGCGCCAGGAGCACCCGGCTGGGATGGACAAGCTCATCTCCTCCAGCTGCTGCTCCAGGCCCCCAGTCTGATGGCTCAAATGCTCTCACTGCAGCACACGCCACCTCTCTGACACCATCATGGGCTTGGTATTTTTATTAGTTCTGCCACTAGTCAGAGTTTGGAATATTGTAATTTGAACAGCAGTTCCAGGTTGTCATTTATCCCATCATATATTTGTTTTGTTGGTTGGCTAGAGCTAGGTTTTAGGAACAAGTTTGCTGAGCCTGACAACTTTGAGGAACTGACATGCTCCTCAGGGTATAGCAAGAGCACTGTCTGGCCCAAATACACCTGAGGAATGAACATTCTAAGCCCCTTGCACTTTGTACAAAGCCCCATAAAGCTAGAATTCCTTCTCTAAAGGCAACTGTGGACACCTTGGGGATTAGGCTTCATACATGGTCCTCTAAAATGCACCCAGAGAGCAAGGACTATCCTAGACCTTCAGCCTCCTTCCAAAAGTGCACCCAGCAGGCTGAGAGCTTCCTCCCAGGCCAGGGCCAGGATCAAGGCCACCCCAGGGACTCCCAGGCGCACCCAGCAGCCAGGGATCCTCCTGTGCAGCTTGCACCACCTCTGGTTCTCTGCCCCCTTGTCGTTGACCTCAGGGAGGGCAAGCAGGACTTGGGAGCGCTTGGGAAAAGGCATCTCTTGAACAGCCCAGGGTGTCTGACCTTCCCCTTGGCAGTAAACAAGGAGATGCAGTCAACTCCATCCCACCCACGGGATTCAGAAATTGAAAGATGGATGAGAATCACAAGGTTATCCCTCCCAATGCAATCTCTCCCTCTCGCAACTTCAGCCCATTTCTTGCCATCACTATCCCAGCAAGCCCCAAATTTCCTTGCACTCTTCCTCAGGCTCCTCTCCCATGCTTTTGTCTGCTGAGACAGCAAGGAAGCCGCACGGAAAGGAGCTCGTGGTCAAAGTCTCCAACGACATTGCTAATTTACTGAATTGAAGTTAATGGGCTGGGACACACACACATGCTGAGCTTTCACCCCAACACTGCTGTGATGCCAGCATGCAACTAAGGGCAAGAATGTTAACCCCTGGCTGACTCAATCCCCCCAACATATTTTTGCCCAACACTTGTTGTCATCTAAGTCTCACCCAAGGTTGTGCTAGCAAAGATAAATATATCATTCCACCTTTAAGAAATTTTGTGTTTTTCCCTTGCTAAGCCAAACTCCCATCTCCTCTTGCTAGGACCATGGTGCCTGTGAGTTCTCTCTTCAAGAAGGTTTGCAAGTGGCAATGATGAAAAGGAAAGAAAGAGATGCTGTAGAACAATCTTTTCCTTTTAAACTTCGAAAAGGAGGATTGAAAATTGTTAGGGGTTCAAAAGCCTGAAGAGGTTGAAAACCACTGAATGAGCACCATAAGGACCTCTCACTGAGCAGTACAAGAAGTATCAGTGGCCATCAATCCTGCAGTTCTAGAGGTGCTGCTTAAAATGCAATGAATAACAGCTTTTTCAGTTAAGTAGTACAAGCAAATAAAAGCTGAATGGGGAGGCAGAAAATAGCTGTAGATAAAATTAAGTGGATTTTTTTTTCTAATCCTGAAAAATAAAATAAATGTTTTGGTTCCTCTGAAGCACCACTTCATTTTTCTAATGACTTGGAGAACATCAGCTAGCCATACCCATGAGCTCCCCCAGTCTCCCTCTCTAGCTCTGCATCTAGGCAGATGCTGAATGATGGACAAAATATCCACTACTCCTGAGCAAGAAATTAGGCATTTCACTGTAAATTATCCTTTAAAGCTGCATAATATCCCAGCTGTTTCACCCAAATACTTTCTGTACCTTAGATGGCTTTTCCTAGAAAGCTTTTGCTTTGGTGACATTTTGGTTGCTTCTACAAGGTTTAAGAGGCCTGAGGATCAATGCCACCATGTGCTGAGGGGTCTGTGGCCATTGCCCACCAGCACAGACAGAGGTAGGCTGTGGAGGGTTATAAATACACATTTCTCAACTGCCTCCCTTAAAGACATCATTTGCAGGTCTGTGACCAACTAAGACCACCCCAAGTCCTAAACGCATGGGGAAGCCTAGCCATGAGTGATTCCAACCTCAGCGTTATCTCAGCAGCATAAAAATGTGATCTCTTCATCAGAGACAT